TATATATATTATAATGATATAATATATAATATAATTATAATATATTAGTATAATGCTATATAATAATATATTAGTATATGAATATTACTATTAATAATTATAATATTATAATATAATTATATAATATATGTACTATAATTATATAATATATAATATATATATTAGATATATATCATTTAAAAAATAGTATATAGCCAGTAACTTTGGCATTCCATCTTCCTCCTCTATTACATCATCCTTTACTTTGCTTTTACTATCTGTGTTTGTATCTACAAGCAATAGAATGTCTAGTTTTGCTCACATATGAACTTCATAAAAATAGTTTTATTAGATACACATGCACATCCATTCATTGATGACTATAGCTGCGGTTCATTCATTTTCACTGCTGTGAGGGTATTCATTTTATGTATATACTACAATTTATCAATTCTCCTGATGATGGACATTTGGATTGTTTCCAATATTTTAAAAAAATGTTATAAGCAATATAGCCACAAAATATTCTTGTCTTTCTAGTGAATATGAGCAATAATATTTCTATAGCAGAGGCCTAGGGAGGGAAATTATTGAGTTATAGGGTATGTACATTTTCAACTTTACTACATAGCCGTCAAATTGTTTCCCAGAGTTAGGATATAGCCACATCTTCACTACATGATATCACTAGACTTTTCAATTTCTGCCAATTTGATAGGTATGAGATAGTATCTTATTGTGCTTTTAATTTGCATTTTCTTGATTACTAATGTGGTTGAGAATTCTTATATTTATGGGTATTTGGTGTCTCCTCTTCTTTGACATGACTGTTTTGGTTTTTGCCTATTTTCTATTTGTTTGTTTATCTTGATCTAATTGATTCAGAAAATTTCCTTATATTGTAGTTACTAATCTTTTGACGTTTAAGTGTTTTTAGAGTTGTGTAACTCACTTTTCCATGTCTTTTGTTGGGGTAAGTTTTTTTTTGTTGAACTTAATTTATTAATCTTTCTTTTTATGATTTGTGGGAATGGTTTTCTTGTGTGTATTGTTTAAGAAATTCTCTCTCATCAGCATCACCTTTCTTTCCAAAAAAAAAAAAAAAACAGAATTCTCCTCTCACTTGAGGTCATGAAGATCTTCTCCTATATTTTCTCCTAAATGTTTTGGGTTTTATTTTCTTTTAAAAGTTTGGTTATTTTTACATTTAAATCTTTAGTCCAGGCTAGGCTCAGTGGCTCACACTTGTAATCCTAGCTCTTTGGGAGGCCAAAACGGGAGGATTGCTTGAGGCCAAGAGTTTGAGAAAAGCAAGAGCAAGAGCAAGATCCCATCTCTACAAAAAATAGAAAAATTAGCCAAGTGTGGTGGTGTGTGTCTGTAGTCCCAGTTACTTGGGAGATTGAAGCAGAAGGATTGCTTGAGCCCAGGAGTTTGAGGCTGTTGTGAGCTATGTTGATGCCACTGCACTCTAGCCCAGATGACAGAGCAAGACCCTATCTCCAAAAAAAAAAAGGAAGAAATGGGGGGGGGGAATCTTTAGTCCAGCTAGAAATAACTTTTGTGTATGATATGAAGTATGGATCCAATTTTACTTTTTTCTATATAGATGACTAGTTATCTCAATATTTTAACAATTCATCCTTTTCCTACTGATTGTATCACCACTTCTTTCATATATCTCTCTCTGTTCTGTTAAACTCTCTGTTCTGTTCCATTGGTCAATGTGCCTATCCCTGTGTCAGTACCATTCTTTCTTAATTACTACAGCCTTAGCTTTGTAACAAGTCTTGATATATAGTCAAGCTTTCTTTAAAAGTTTCTCCACCATGCTTTTATAATAAACTCCTGACTAGTTTTGGCCCTTCGTTCTACATATATTTTAGAATTAGTTTATATTTTATGGAAAAAATCTTTGGGAACTTTTTGTTGGAAACATGGTAATTGATGAATGTGGGAAGAAATTATATCTGTATAATATTAAGCATTTCCAATCACGAATATATCTTTCCATTTATTGAAGTCTTCCTTAAAACCTTATAGTAAAGTTGTTTAAATTTTTGCATTAAGATCATATATTTCTTCTGTTAGATGTATTTATCAAGAATCTTATTTTTTGCTGTCTTTTTAAGAGTTACATTTGAAAGGTATTTGTGCCTGGTATGGAGAAATGCAGTTGATTTTTGTTTGCTGACTTTAAATTGAGGAATCTTGTTTAATTTTTATTGTTTTTTAGTAATTTGCAGAATCTACTGGACTTTCTATATAGTCATCTTCTGCAAATAAGTTTTTAGCCTTTCTTCCCAATCCATATAACTTTTATTATCTTACTGAGTTGACTGGCTGGAACTTCCAGTGCAATGTTGAACATAAGTAGTGTCTCATTTCTGATTTAAGAGGAATGCTTCTAATATATCTAACATTTTGCCACTAAATATATTCTAGGTTTTTGGCACCTGGCCTTTATTAGACTAATGAAACTACCTTTTATATATTAATACATATACCTTTATAAGAGTTTAAAAAAAATAAAAGGAGGTTTTAAACTGATTAAATACTATTTCTGTGTATATTGAGATAATCATGCATAAGTGCTTAAAAAAATTAACACTGAACTAGATTTTTTTAATGTTTTTTTTTTTTTTTTGAGACAGAGTCTTGCTTTGTTGCCCAGGCTAGAGTGAGTGCCATGGTGTCAGCCTAGCTCACAGCAACCTCAAACTCCTGGGCTCAAGCAATCCTGCTGCCTCAGCCTCCTGAGTAGCTGGGACTACAGGCATGCGCCACCATGCCCGGCTAATTTTTTCTATATATATTAGTTGGCCAATTAATTTCTTTCTATTTATAGTAGAGACGGAGTCTCGCTCTTCCTCAGGCTGGTTTTGAACTCCTGACCTTGAGCAATCCGCCCGCCTCGGCCTCCCAAGAGCTAGGATTACAGGCGTGAGCCACCACACCCGGCCTAATGTTAAATCATGTTTTCATTCCTGAAAAAACTTGATATATGTCCTAACCTACGGCTTAGTGCTCCAGAAATCCTGAGCCACCTGTATTGGAACATCCAGCCCATCTGATTTGTATGTGTCTCCCCTCTGCAGTTGTTACTGACGTCAACCAAAGTACTGTAGTCTAATCTCATGGCACCACCTAGTGGCAAACTTTGGAAATTTCTGACTTACCTCTTCTCCTCCTCTCTTTCCTTCTTAGGGATTTGCAAATAAGCAGTTTCCTTGGTTATCATTGCTAACTCCACCTTTACTCCTATTCTCTTTCTTGTGTTTTACATTTATCCACTTTTCTACCCATCCTCCTTTCTCGTGCTGTTCTAAATTTTCTCAGTATATTCATGAGAATCATTCTCTTTTTCTTCTTTTGCTCTTTCTCTCCGTTTTTATTCCTTTATGAGTCTAAATCTACGTCAGTCATGGTTAATTGTAGTGAGAGTAGTAATAGCGACTAAGGAAAAAAATACAGCTACATTTTGAGATGAAATTTGATACAATTAAGTGCCAGTTCTGTTAACCTTGCAAATACTTAAAATTTCCTTTAAAATTAATCATCTTCTAATTAATTCTGCCTAGTTCAACATCAAGCTCATGCATTAAAAAAATAAAACTGTTGATAAATATCATTGTTTCTGTGTTCCTCTACTGCTGCTTTTGACAAATTAGGAGTTTCTACTGTATTTTACTGCAAACACTCAGTTTTTCATTATTTGTTAAACTGCCTAGAAACTGGACTACCATCTGTAACATGGTTTGCATGGAAACAGCCCACCACAGCTGCCCTCTTAATATGTAACCCATTTATAAGACAAAGACTGCCAGTAACTATATTTCCAATCTCTTTACCCATGAGGATAGAAAATACCATAAGCAGCATTGTCCCCAATCACAGAACGGACTCATGGCTAAACTTGGCCAGCTTAACAATTTCTTTGTTAATTATGACTTTGTTTTTGGTAAATCTGATGGCTACACCTGCGAATGGCAGGTGAGTCAGCTGAAGAGGACAGACCAGGGACAGTAGGGCTGAAATTCATCTCTAACCACTGCAGCACCAATATGGCTGCAGAGGACATACTTTTCATTGTTTGTTTATTTGTTTGTTTGTCTTAACCCATCCTAATCTCTTAGGAGGCAGGTATCAAGAATTTGCTTATTAAAACACAGCAACCCTAGCACTCTGGGAGGCCGAGGTGGGTGGATCCTTTGAGCTCAGGTGTTCAAGACCAGCCTGAGCAAGAGCAAGACCCTGACTCTACTAAAAATCAGAAAAAAAAATAGCTGGAAAACTAAAAATATACATAGATTTAAAAAAATAGCCGAGCATGGTGGCACATGCCTGTAGTCCCAGCTACTCGGGAGGCTGAGGCAAGAGGATCGCCTGAGCCCAGGAGTTTGAGGTTGCTGTGAGCTAGGCTGATGCCACGACACTCTAGCCTGGGCAACAGAGTGAGACCCTGTCTCAAAAAAAATAAAAAAATAAAAAATAAATAAATAAAACACAGCAACTATTGATTTCAGAGTAGGCACTGCGAAGTCTTTTGGGTCCATTAGCCTAGTTGGTGACTGAAATAAACTTTAACAGGGACTAGATTAATCAAGAGAGAACTTCAAATTAAATATGAAATCTGGTAATCAGCATTGCTCTGACATGCAGTTCTGATGTTTACAGCTTGAGATGTATTTTTCTTGTGAAACCGACTTGTTTGTGTAGAGAAGCTGCAACTATTAGAATTCTAGCATCAATTTATAAGGGAGATTTAAAGTTATTCTTATTTCTACATTCTAATAGTGGAATTTCAAAGGTGGATTGGGGAAAAAAAAAAAAAGAAGAAGTTAAAGATTAGGAAAATTAGTTTGGCAACTTGGTTACCCAGCAGGCCCTACAATAATCCAGGGTGACAAGGGTGTTCCTGGCATTCCGAACTGCTGGGCAGGCAGCCACCCTTCCCATTTGGCTTCCTTCCGTGTTCTTCTGCTAAATGCTTTCTAACCTCTTGATGTCTCTTTTGAAAGGTGGGGACCCAAACTGTACGCGCTGTTCCAGATGCGATCATGCCAAAGCAGTATAAAGCAGATGTAACAGTCGGGAAGAAGGCTCCCTCCCTCACTAGGTAGGTACAGCTGGCGGCGGTGGCCAGGCCTAGCCCACCTTCCCATGCGCCCTGCCACACCCTCCACGGCCGGGATGCTGGGGGGAACCCTATGAACCCCGAATCTGCTCATCCACACGCCAGGACCTTTCCTCAAAGGGGCTGACCGAGAGCAACCTGTACCATTACAGCCTCTGGTTCCAACCCTCCAGGTTCTTTCTCGGTAGTTTGCACCTCTTAAGTTCTTTGCCAATCGAGAATATGGTCCTCCAATTTAATAAATTTAAAGCCAGCTAGAGTTTATTAAAATAAGATTCTACCTGTAATCTCGGTGAACTGGTTGGATGTGCTACTTTAGAACATTCTCTTACCTTTGTGAAAGAAGCCACTCGATGAGCAGTGACACTAAGAGAATCACAGTGCAAACTCACACACATGACACTTGTGTTCTGCTGGGAGGTTCTTTTTATTGAAAAAAAAAATCAGATTTACTTAAAAATGAAGTCGTGTACATGCATAGAAGAATTAAAGAACTGGTTCATAAGGCAGGTGAATATAGCATTATGTGTTGACCTCAATACTATTTTAAAATAACTTTTTTAACTATCCCATTGCCACAGTAACAGATTGTTTTAAAATTCTTTGGTTTCTTTGGAAGAGACTATTTGATCCATCTCATTTCTAAATAAAATCACACCAATGCAGTTTTATCTTGTAGATCTTGAATGGTATATTTGTGTTCCTCCAAATTGCTGTGTGAATATATTTGAGATAATACTTTAAGATGTGGAATAAATGTCCATTATAGCAATATTATTTTTTAGATTTTTTTTCATGTGACATAAAAAATGGTCCTATTAAGGTGGGGAAATGTTCACTTAAGTTGGGAAAGTTTTAGAAACAATTTGCCTCTTTGGCCTTGAAGTTTAGAGTGCTCTGAAATGCATTTAAGGTCATGCAAGAATCTCTCTGACATTTCATGACATGCGAAAGCACTTTTCATTGTTTCAAAATCCACTTGAAGGGCTATGACACATCCATCATCATTTGCTCTCACTTGTTTTGAAAGGAGTGTACCTGATTGAAAATTCATAGAATCCAGCTAGCTTCATTCCTAATATTTGAGCTAAAATCCTTGGTTAAAGTACATTCTTAATTTTCCATAGATTGCCACAAACAATACTCTTCTTAGCCATTCGTCCTTAAACCATTTCTTCCAGTGTAGAAATTCATTCATGTGACTCTTTCCATTTTGTTTGTTGATTAGTAAAATTTCCCGAATTAAAATTTGCCTAATGGTTCACAGTTTTTCCTCCCTGACTTTCACCTATTAAAGTTCTTGCTTTTTAGAGCAAACCCTTTGAGTGAGTTTGGCCCTGAGCTATTGTCGTCAGAAGTAGGCGAAGGAAGTTTCTGCATGACTCACCAGAAAAAGTCAAGGTCGAACGGCAGAAAGAGATTTTGAATTATCCAGAGATAAATTTATGAAGGGATCAAGAGAGTTGGCAATTGCCACATACCTCCAGCTTGAAATGTCACATAGTTGGCAGCCTTGGAAGAACTGCTGGGCCCCTCCAGAGTTGATGATGATGTTATTGACCCAAGAAAAATGACAGTGACTTCTGAGTGGTTTGCTGGTCCTTCTCCCACTGTCCTCAGGGTTTCTCCACAGCACTGTCATCTGTCTTCCTTGTGACTAGGGTACCTGTGGGATTATGGTGGCAAGGAGTTGGAGGTGACCTCTAAAACCACGTCCGAGATAGAGCTGACAGGTTTCTTCAGGGATAGGAGCCCCTGCGACCTCAGGACCAGACTGTCTGCAAATCACTGATCAGCCCCAAAGGCCAGCACAGTCTAGTGTGTGCAGACCCACGGGCTTCTCGCCCTCAACGTCCAGGCTCTGGGCTGATTTTAGCTGAGGAGGTCAGGCGAGACCCGTCCTGCAGTCCTCTCTCCTGCATCCCCGGAGAGGTGCCCGAGGTGGGTCGCACCACCTGGAGTAAACACCGTGATCTCGTTCCTGGGGCACACGCACCCCTCAGGCTGCTCAGCTGTTTCTCCTGGGACTCAGGTCACATAGGTTTAGGTGACAGTGACATGAAAGGGGGAGTGTTTGCACCACGATCTTACATCCACATGATTATTTTGGAGCAGAACATTGCAAAATCGACTATGTTCCATTCCTTTTTGAGGCTAAAAATAATTCCAGCCAGGCTGGGCTCAGAGCGTAGAGTCTGGGGATCCACCTTTATTTTGGTGCAATCGGTACATCGTCACGTTTCCTCAGCGGCGTTCCATTCCCCTTCGTAATTCAATAACAAACTCAACCGTGACTAAATGTTAACTTAACCATAACTAAGTGTAAAGTGTGGAAAGATGTTCGGAGTCATGCCTTTTTCAACGCCATTAGTTGAGTTTGTTTCTTTCCTGCTTGACATTCCTGTTTTCTTCTGTGTCTTCACGCAGGTCCCTGGCAGCTGACATACGGAGAGCTTTAGGATAGGACAGACCAAGACATTCCTGGTGTTCTGACTGTGTATCTCCCCCAAAGCCTGGACTCTCAGCTGCAACGGGGCGGACAGTATTCCCTGAACCAGGGCTCTTGCCGATGGTTCTCTCCTCATCTCAGTTGACCGCCGGTTTTCCCTTTCTCACTATTCTGTCTCCCCCCAAACCCTACTCGATCGTCTTTCCTAAAGACAGACCTTAGCAAGAAGGGCCAGGATTCGGGACTTGCGCATCGCACCCTGCAGTCCCAAGCCGGCCTCTATTGCACCCCGTCTTCAAGGCACCATCCCCCAATCAGATGCCGGAAGGTATCAGCTTCTGAAAACCCAATTCTTTTTTTTTCTTTTTTTCTGCATGACTAGCTTGTAAGAAGGAGTCTATGGAGAGAATTTCCAAGAATTTTCCATTTTTTTCAAAAAATGTATGTGACTTATTTTTGGCTTTTAACCGAGAGCAAACTCCGTGGTATACAGCTGTGTTTTTCCATGCACCCATCCGTGGAATCTGCAGAAATCAAGGCAACATTCCCTTTCCTGTCTGGGCTGTTTGTATAATTGTATATAAATGTAGCAATAAATATATTCTACCATGAGTCTGAGATCGACTTTCCACTTGATTCTGCACCCTGGTGGTAGGCAGTGAATAACGATTCTCAAGGAATTGCCCTACTGACCTGTGGGGCTTGCCTGCCCCATCTCAGGTTCTAATGTTCTCTGATTTCACACAGCTTTACTTTGGAGTTGGCCAGTGTTTGGAGAAAGAGTGTAGAGGAGAGTACAGTGGCAGAGCTGGGATGTGAAATGGCATTATTAATTCATGAGATGGCGCTCGTTCTGGCACTTGGCGGTGGTTTGAATGTCCAAGGACTGAAGCTTTGAGGATTAGGTGACAGTTTGCGACACAAAGTTGGCTGTTTTAATATCACTGTTATATCCTTTAAGTATGTATTGTGCTGCAATTATGTGACAGGTGCTTGCTGGGCCCAAAGTTACACCTTAAAGATTTTCAGAAAAACCACATGAAATATGCCGACATGACATAGAATTTTCTACCTGTCGCTGAAATTTTTCAAGGGTACTAAGTAAGTCTATTTGCTGTAGAGACCACCTCCTCCTACAGGGGACACATAAGCAAATAATCTGTTATGAGGCAGATATAACACTGTCTAATATCAAGGAATATTTATTCTCAAATTAGTCTCTCATAAATTTATGTGAAATCATTGGTTATCAGGCATTTTTATAACTTAGAAGATAACCATGTGCTTTGTTGTGCTTTCTTATCAAATTGCTGTTTCTCAGGCCTCTCCTTGATTATAAGTGAAAGTTGGTATAAAATCATTCAGTCCTAAGACCTGGGAATGCAATGGAGCCAGAAGCCGGAATATTCTGTGGCAGGGATTTTGCTGTCCTAGAAAGAGTAGTACCTTTTTTGTATATTAAAAAATATATAGGTGGGTTGCGGTGGTTCACGCCTGTAATCCTAGCACTCTGGGAGGCTGAGGCGGGTGGATCACTCAAGGTCAGGAGTTCGAAACTAGCCTGAGCAAGAGTGAGACCCCCGACTCTACTAAAAATAGAAAGAAATTAATTGGCCAACTAAAAATATATAGAAAAAATTAGCCAGGCATGGTGGCACATATCTGTAGTCCCAGCTACTTGGGAGGCTGAGGCAGAAAGATTGCTTGAGCCCAGGACTTTGAGGTTGCTGTGAGCTAGGCTGATGCCATGGCACTCTGGCCAGGGCAAGAGAGTGAGACTCTGTTCCAGTCTCTATATATATAGACTGGAAGGGGATTAAGGAAATTATCCTGCTGAGCCCTTTGAACCACTGAGCAGATAACTCTATGAATGATTGTGCCACATCTGTTTTACTTTCGCCTTTCAATAGATCCATCAGAGGACACAAGGCTCCAGGTCAAAAGACGAGGCACAGTGTGGGCACTGCTGTCCACAGCAAACTTACACGCGGTGCCACTGGGCACCCCTTTTCTGCAGATAGCTGTTTTGGCCAGGACTGATGGTACAAAGGGAAATTATTAGGAAAGATATGGGACGATTTATCAGTTGCTTCTGTTTACAGGGCAATTAAGAGATAATCCCAATTAGAGATCATGCTGTAGAATCAATCAAAAGATCATTTTAGTTTATGGATCTGTGGAGGATGGAGGATTTTCAGCCCGTGGGCGTTAAAACCTGGGCATGGGTTGCAGCTCTGCCACTGATTAGTGGTTGGATCTTAGACAAGTCATTCCAACTCTCAGGGACTCTGATTCCTCTGCTGTAAAATGAGGTATTTAGACTAGATGATTTCTAAGGTCCTTTCTGTTCTTGGAGTCTCTCCTCCTGTGGGAACGGGAAGGGAGTGGCATACTTTCCAATGCTAAAGAGCAAGGTCACGAGATGGCAAAAATGGGCCACCGAGAGGCAGAAGAAAGTTACGGAGATCGCTTATGCCCAAATGCTAACAAATGCATTGCTAACACACTGCTAACATCAAAGCACCACCTAGTCAAACCCCTTCTAAAGAAACAGAACATCCTCGGCTCTGACTTTTCACACCCTGTTGGCTGGATTTCTTCCTGGGCTGTCTTCTGCACAGGGCAGAAAGCCTGCAGTGTACGCTTGTCATGGGGACAGACAGGTGGGAAGTCGGAGCTTCCGAACAAGGAGCCACTTTTCTTCACTCAGGAACTGCCAACACCCTCCAGCCTGGGCTGTGCCCCATGCAGATTGTCCCTGGGCTCTTGCAACTGTCGGACCTCAGTCCTGGTCAAGTTCTACCTCCGTGTAAGAGCAAAGCTGACAGCTGTAGCAACTCGAAGGAGAGGCAAGCTAGTCACTCATCAGTCGCATCCACACCCAAGGAACACGTTAGTGGGAGCTTTCTCTCCCCTAGCACAGACGCAGAATGTCCCTGCCCTGGGGGCCCACTCCTCATTCCTTTCCAGGAAGGTAGGATAAGTAGCTTGATGGTTGAGTTTGAGTTTGTGTAGCTCAGTCCTGTTCTGGAATATTCCTTTTGGGTGCTGGCTGTCTGCAGAAAGCACACAGCCTCTCTGCCTGCCTCAGTTTACAGAGGCAGGCCTGGGCTCCCACATGGGGAGGGCAGGCCTAATTTGGGGTTCACTATTAGGAAGCCCAGTTGCCATGGGCAGAAGCCCACATCAATGTGGTCTGACAACCTTCCCTTGCTTGTACTTTGCTTTATTTCTCTCCATTGCTTTGGCACCTGGTTCTCACATACGTGCACCAGGATCGTCCGGAAGATGTGGTCAAACCTACACGCTGGACTCTGCTCCCAGCGTTTCCGATTCAGCAGGTCAGGAGCAGAGAGGGGCCCAAGAACTTGCATTTCTAGCAAGTTCCCAGATAAGGCTGAGGCTGCCGGGCTGGGGAGCACACATAGACCTGAAGAGCACTCGGCTGAGAGACGGCTTTCTGTTTATCTTCCCCCTCAAACTCCAGAAGAACGAAATGTTCTCGAGGCTGTCTGAGTCAGCTCTTCGCTAACCTAGAGCCGGCAAACATTCCTGGGTCAGTATGAGTAACTCTTACAAATCAATATCCTCTTCTAGCCCACAGCCTTGGGGAGAAACAAATGGTTATGGATTACACTCATTTCAGCTCTGTGCGGAACACAAGATGAGTCAACGCCAGCTGTACATCAGCCCTGAAAAGGAGATTTTATTAAAAAAATAAAGAGCCTGAGACGTGTGCAGTTCTCCTTTGATAAAACCTTGTAGAGCGCTATGCACAAATAAGCGTGTAGCTGGGGATTTCTAATAATGATGGAGCTGGTGGATTTTAATAACTTTTCATTGAAATAGAAAGTACAAACCTTTGCAGGTTAGGGAACAGACAGCGTGATGAATCTTTGCAAACTCACAGAAGGTACCCATGGGATCAGTAGGGACCAGGACAGAGTGTCCGACCCTGAAGTCCCTCGGTGCATTGCCAAGGCGCTGGGCGCTCTCTCAGCACTATCCTGAATTCTAACGGGGTTAGATATGTTTTACCTGGTTAGTGCTTTATGGAAATGAAGTCATTCAGCATGCACCCTTGAGTGTCTGGTTTCTTTTACTCAACAAACTCATGCATTCCCCAAAATGGCTTTCACGCAATCAGCCTTGTTGCCGGCCACAGCCTACTTCACTCTGGCCTCTGTCATCCGGCTGCCTGCCGCCTTCCCAACAAGTCTTCCAGCTTCCCCGCACAGTGTGGTGGCCCCAGCAGAGCAGTCCCCTGGGCACTGTGGGAGGCTGGCCGTTCCCACCCCACCCCCATGGGAAGGGCTTTGGCTCCTCCCCTCTGTCCGTTTCCATCTGTCAGAGCAGGCAGAGGCCCCGCCCCCCGCAACGCCCACACCTGCAAGGCCCCTTCCTCACTGCCTGTGCATTAGTGGCACCTTGCTCCTCACCATGCCTCGGGGACCTGGATTTCCCTGCATCACGGGGAACGCGAAGGTGGCCTCTCAGGCACCAGGGCAGGGAGGAGACAGAGGCTGGAGCACCCCACGGGGAGTTTCACCACCTTGGTGCAGGAGTGACACTTGTCTCTTCTGCTCCTGTTTCGGGGCCAGAACTAGTCACTTGCCCCCTCTTGGCTACAAGGGGGCTGGGAAAGGTCATGGACCCCTCAGGTCCCCTCTGAGTTCGGCACTGGGAGAAGGACCTTGCTTCTGTTAGGAAGGCTGGAGAGAGCTGGAGGTGGAGGGTGACACTGACATGGGGCTAAGGATTTCGTCTTTGCTGGTGCAGCAGGGATCGAGGTTATCCCGGGCGGCGGAGCCTGGAGGAATGACAGGGCTTGCCAAGCAGCCTCTGAGAGGGGCCAGGGCATAGAGTCCATGGTGGGTGTGAAAGGTAGATGGTGCACTTCGGATGTCACTGTGATGGGGGGCTTTGAATATTACAGTCAGACATGCTGGCCTGATCACAGGGTGGTGTGTGTGTGGGGGGTGGGGTCCAAGGCTTCTAAGGCGAGCATCATGAGAAGGTTAACTTTAGCTACAGGCTGGAAGGGTTGGAGGAAGGGAGACTTGGGGAGACGGGGGAGGAAGTGGTTGCTGTAAATAGAGCTGGGCCAGGCTAAGGCCCAGCCAGAGCAATGAGGAGGGACAGAGGGTGATGAAAGTGGGATCTATCAAGAGCCTGAATTCAGAACTGGGGTGCAGCTATATGCACCTGCGAGGGAGAGTGAAGAACTGGGGGCAAAGCGCAGGCATCGGGGAAGGCAATTTCTGCCTTTTGGCACCCATTATGTCCCAGGCCCTGGTGCTGGACATTCTATACCAGCATCTTATTTAATTATGTTGACATCCCTGTGAGGTGAGTACAAAGATTCCCTTTCACGACAGAGGAAAGTAATTGAGCTTCAAGATCAAGGACCTGCTCAAGGTCATACAGAGTGGCAGTGGGGGCACCAGCCTGGCAGCCGGGGACTGCCACGTCCACACACTTCCCCTGCACCCCACAACCTCGCCTTCTCCCTGCAGGACGTAGCACTGCCAAGCCTAAGCCAGACAGACAGTAGCTGGAGTCTCACCCTTCCTGTCGCTGGGTGGCTCTATGTGAGCAGCTCTCCTTGCCATTGGCTT